AAATAATATTAACGTTACATACCATACAATGCCAAACAAATAAATAAAATGAAATTACTCTGAGTAATATACAATTTTATATTTTAATAATTTTATTATAATTAAAAGTGTAGATTAAAAATTTTATAACATAAAATGGCAACACTTATTTTTTTATCTAATTGAAATTATTATAATGTTTTTTAAAATTTATTAAGTAATTTGATACGAAATTAATTTTCTCTATTAATTATGATTTTCCTAATAAATATAAATTTAATTTATTTGTGTTATTAATTATATCCAATATTACTTTAATTTGAACAAAGTTGCATGATAAGATAAAGTAATCATAATTTTTAATAATTTTTTAAATTGTACAAATAGGATTGACACCAAAAAACAAGTTAACATTAATTTTTTAAATTTTACTTAAATTAAGCCTACTTAATTTAAGTAATTAAATTATATAAACACAAATATATAGTTGATTTAAATGCAATTTTTATTCGCAAATAATTTTATTTTACATTAAACATGAAATTTTAAAAATTTTACTCAATTAAAATCAATAACTTTGAATCGTCTTAAATTTTGTAGCTATGTCCTTTATTTTAAAATAAACACCCAGTTAGTTTTTGTTGAGCCCCTCGTTGACAGCGGTGAGGAGGGGGTGTTTCTTAGTCGTTACGTAACCGTTAAAGTCGTCGTTATTTATGGCCCTAACGGTGACCCCTCCGAAACCCTCAGTCGTGGCCCAATTGGTCTTAGCCTTAATGGTGGCCTCGACCTCAGCGGTAATCCATAGGTCATCCTTATAAAAGTAAACTGAGCCAGCATCCTTGTCCTCCTCCATGGTCAAGCCACCATCTTTCATTTTCAACATCACCTTGTTCACATAAATAACGTTGGTTATATAATAAATTAAGCAATGTTTGTGTTTATAATTAATTATTAGTTAAAATAAATACCTCGTTGAAGCCAATTAATCCGGTAAAATTAGTGAATGGCTGAAGAGGGCCCTTATCAGTAGTTTTGGCACCGACGCTGTGGTCAGTAGGGTCAGCGAGTTTCCAGGTGTGTCCATAAAATGGGAGTGAGATCTAGTCGTATATTAAAAATAAATTTAAAATATTTTCATTTTAAATATTAGTCCGATTTAAATATGCACTCACCAATAGCTTGCTCATTTGAGCTTTGTCAATTTGGTCGCCCCATATTGTCATGGATGCTTTCTATATTATAAATGGAATATAAATAAAATATTTGTTAAACATGTTATATAAAATATTAATTCATAATTATTTCTATATAATTAAATACTTACGATATCAGTCAACGAGGCACCATGGCCAGTGGGTATGTGTTGGCCTCGGTGGTGCCCGCCCAGCTCCCTGGTTATGAAATTCAGAAAGTGATCGAGTAAGTTTTTAATATTTCGTATTTACTATGCAGGGTCATCGATTGTACAATTCTTTAATAAATAAAACCTACATGATTATATAGGTTTAGCATGCCAAATTAAGAATATCGGGGTCTGATAATCTATGGGAAGGTGGTGTGGTCATAATCCAGTGGTCAAGTTTCCGATAATCGCATTATTTTCAAAGCTTTATATGCATTATT